TCCGTTGTAGCCACTATTCATTCTTCCAGCACGACCACCCACCCAGCCCTGAGCACGGGATCCACCCCTTTCGCCATTTTCGGACCAGACCCTGGAACAACCTTGGCCTAACCATCCCGCACCTACTCCCCCATGCCAATCACCGAATGCGCTGTTACACTGACCAGGATTCCCTCCAGTTCCTCCGCTACGAACATCACTTGAATCTTTTCCAACGCTACTAGTGCCGTTAGTACCCGCCTGACCATCCACCCCGTTATACCCGTTAGATGCACCCCCCCCTCCTCCAGCAGCTAACAAAAGCACGTTACTTGTTGTATAAACAAAGCTCCCTCCCCCTCCCCCAGTTCCAGCATTGTCCTCTACGGACAGTCCCAGCTGAGCTGCTGTCAAGTTAGTGGACTGTCCTCCTCTTATCTCCACTGAATCGCCCCCTCTTTGTCCCACTACAATATTCAGTACAGTTCCTTTATTCAAGGTAAACCTGCCCTCTTTGTATGCACCTTTTCCACCGTAGTAAGTTCCGGGATAACTTCCATAGTTTGTGGAGTGCGTTCCTCCTCGAGCTCCCCAGGCTCTGATTCGATAGCGAGTGGTTTTTGGCACTGTGAAAGTCTGAATGCTGCCGAAACGCCCTGCTCCATTCGTTGTAAACGACCAAGGAGCTGATAATGACAATGTATTGTATTTAATAATATACATGAAAACATTTCTTAAATCTGATTGGTTGAGAGCAGTCCAGTTTTTAGTAAACTGAAAACACAGTACAAAAAACGAGGAAAAATAATACAAAAAGAAGGGAATATAATGCAAATTTCTTAGAGAATGGAAAACTGTGATTTGCTAATAGACAATAGAAATCTGTAAGAACCAATCAAGTGCTGCAATCTACTGGCGTTCAAAGCTTTCAAGCAAAGCCAGGCAAGTCATTTTTTTATGTATATTATTAAAAAGTGATCATGCAACTTTTCTCATTCAATTTGGAATTTATTTGCATTCGTGCGTTCAAATTGCATTCGTGTTATGGGCTCATGTACTGAGTTTTGATACTTTTTAAAAAACACATTCATGCAAATAAATTCCAAATTGAACTCGAAGTCCTATGATTACCTATACTAATATTTGCGCTCTAAATTGTATTTAAAATAATTAAAAAGTAATATCAAAACCCATCAGTTGATAATCAGTTTAGGGTGATAATCAGAACTGAAGTGAGGACTACATTGTGGCAGACGAAACTTAATGGCCGGTGCCTGTTTGCGAGGAGTTAGCATATGCATGAAATCAAGGCTGTGGAGGCTACAGTTTCTTCTCGCTGAGATAATCCTCATAATAGACCAGACTGATTGTGATCAAGGGCTCTTTAAGGCGATATTACTTGAGACGATTTGCAACGACAATTTTATGGCGACAATGTTGCAACAATCAGAAACAATGTCGCAACAATGCTGCAACGCTGTGTTGCGCTAAAGATCGTCGTTGCGAATAGTCCGACGTAACATTGCCTTTACAAAGGGAATCAATGCCTCCTTAATGATATTGCCATTGTCTTTAAGATGAACGCTTCAGGCAAAGAATTCGAAAAGGTATCAGCTGTCAAGAGATTTTGAAATTGAATCAGGAATATCAAGACAATCGACCTAAAACATTTCAGAAACAGGAGGACAATCTGATGCCCATATTCCGAAGCCCGAAGCGTGCGACTCGCATACTTAGCGTAAGCAATAGATCAGTTTATTTTTAGCATGACTTTGGAATACTTTTTCAAGCGAAAATGGAAGCCCCGCTTCGTATGTGCGCGCATCCGATAAGTATAAGAAATACGAAAATAGAGCGTTTTCACATGATCGCATGGCGGCTATATTGGTGTTCCAAAACAATGGAACGGCCGTCATGTTGGCTGTTTCAAACCAGTCCTGTAGGAGTTGAACTCTTTTCTTATATAAAGCTTTCTTTTGTTGAATAAATTTGCATAGATGCTGGTCACGTATTAAAGTGAAAACGCTCTAAAAATAAGTCACCATCATCAATACATCAAAAAATACTATTAATTGGTCTCCAGGCTTTGTTGACTAGAAAGTCAGTGTGAAAATCTACATCTGCGTAACCGCGGTAGCATGGGCATGGGTTCTTGAGTAGACTTAGTCATGTTTGGTAGAATCTAATTATTACTATAATTACATAATTGCTGCAATTGAAATTGATAAAAAATACATATATGTATGTAAAATAAAATAAAAGATATAAATCATGGAGTACGCATCAGCCGCACAAAACTTCAGTCTTCATGTACATACAACTTGCATAAAAAGAAATTACAATAAACATGTCTTCCCTAACTTTTAATTTTATATGTTTAATAATTACCATAGCACGTGATTCCATCACCGGAGGAACCAAACTTGCATGCACACAAGTGGGAACCAGCAGTATTAGTGCACGCGGCATTCACGTCACAGTTGTCAGTTTTGGTAGTGCATTCGTCTATATCTGAGGGAGAAAGAAATTAAGTTTAAGGTGCATCCTTGTTATCGCGGTGCGATAGCCTTTCAAAAAGAGCTATGGTTCTCTTGCGTTTTAGTTCGTTAGGTAATCGTGCAATGATCATTCTCTAGTTCCTTGTATTTAAGAGTTTTCCATACGAGCTATTTTATAACTGATGAAGGTTGTGAAGACCAAAACGTATTCAGTAATTAATATGAATCGGTATATTTCAAAGAGGGGTGGGGGGAAGGGGGAGGGCAGCTTTAGTGTCAGCTATTACTGCTAATGAGAACCACTGGTTGTTACTTGTTAAAATGATATATCATGGATGGAGCAAGCATCACCCGCAACAAGCGACAGGATTAATAAATACATAATAAAATAGCTTCAAAAAGAATATAAGTCCCTCGACCAACATTTATGTCTTAATAATTACCATAGCAAGTGATTCCATCCCCGGAGTAACCAGATTTGCATGCACAAAGATGGGATCCTGCAGTGTTAGTGCACACAGCATTCACGTCACGAGAAAGATAACAGGTTTGAAGTGCATCCTTGTCAACGCGGTCCGACCTCTTCCAACCGAGCACTAAATTATTCATTTTTTTTACAGATGACCCTCTACAAAGCTTTTTTTAAGGTATCAGCCACCCTTCAGGACCTTCCGCGCGCGGATCGCTGTAGCGTTAGTTGTTTTTATAAAAACCCCTATAAACCATATATTTTTTAAAAGCTTAATAATTCTAGATTATGGATTTGAACTAACAAAAACGATTTACTTAAATGTGTTTCGAAATTGGAACGTTTTGTGTAAAAGTACACTTCTCTATAAATCATGTTCCACTCCCGCCGGAAATAAACGGAAGAAAACAATTGACACCGCATTCGCTTCTCAACACGTTCCACTAAAAAAACCGTGTCCCAGATTTTTGACAAGTGCGTTTGTTTTTCTTTTATTAGCAAATGAAGTTGGGAAAGGCAATTAGTCAACACTCCCCGTGGAAAAAAAGCTCTAGCTTTAAAATGAAAAGGAGTATTAAAATTCGCAGACATGGTTTTGTAGAAGAGATATATGGCATCACTCTGGCCAAATTTTAGCCAAATTGATTGAAAGGCTGCCGACTTGGAGTTCAAAACGTACGAGTCGATCGGCAAAATTTGCGTTCGGAGATAAAATAGAAAATACATTTTTGGCGGCATCCTACCTGGAATGAGATTATAACACCTAAATGTTTATTCTGATTGATATCAGAGAGGGATCAATTTTCTCTAACAATAGGACTTTGACAGGTAACATGTAACAGGAACAAACTTTCGCGGCAAGCAAGGGAACAGTTTAATTCTCCGTTGGAAAACTTCCACTCTTTTACACCACGAGAAGCACGGTTTAATTCTTTCTCGAGCAAAAGTTTTGCCTCTCCTTCGATCTTTTTTGTATGATCCGCCCAGGCGTTTTTGTCGATCGGCGCCAGGCCAAGGAAAGTAAAAAAACTTTGAAGCCGCCGAATGTCCACCACCGATTGCTCGAAGGCCAAGAACTGAGGCCCGGTTTATTTCAAACGCTCTGCTCTTCTCGGAAGAACTAAAAACAGAATTTGTCTTGTGCGACGGACGGCTTTCATTCTCGCACTGGATTCTCCAGGTAGAACCAAGTCCATACTTAGTCGCTACATTTTCCATGACTTGGACTCTTCCCTGGCAAAATCGACAAGATACAGACTCGTCCAGTTTCTCAAGCAGCTTTTCGCTCGATACGATAGCTCGACCGCTTATTGTTTTCCACGTTCCATCAGCAGATGGGGTCGATGAGCTTAATTGGCTTTCTTCATCTGGCTCTTCAAGCTGGATTTTGGAGCGGCTTGCACTCTCATGATCAGCAACTGCAACATTTTCGCTTTTCTGAATATCCAACTCCTCGAGCCACTTCTCTTGCTGATAAAATGAGCCTTTGTCGCTCTCTGCCAATTTTGCGGCCCATTCTTTGTCAAACTCGCTCTTCGATTTATTTTTCGCTCTCGGTTTCGATGACGAAATTTTCTTTTTTTTTGGCGGCAAACGCTAAATATCCAGGGAGAATACTAAAGGTTATAAACAACGCGAAGACAATTCGCACGTGTTGTGTCGAAGCACGCACTCGGTATCACGTTACAAGTTCACGGGCAAGTTAATTGATATATGACACGGGTATGACAGATCTTGTCAACGATCAATTAAGATAATTAACGAGAAAAAATCTTTTACCCCCGATATCTTTCGACAGAAATAATATTTTCTTCTAATTTTTTTTTTAAAGAAAGCTCTCAAGCATATCTATTTGAAAACGTTGGAACCTCAAATATGGAAAAATGGCAATTTTAAGGGTGGCTGATACCTTAAGGTGCCTGAACACAGTTTAAGAAAGATATGTTTGGAGAATTACTTAATTAATTTATGGGGTACTGCTTCTTTCTTGGACCTAACTAAAATAATTTTACATACATTAGGCAGGATAATTTACCGATGCATGATGTTCCATTTCCAGTGTATCCAGGGCTGCATGTGCAGTTATAAGACCCCTGAGTGTTATTGCAGAAAGCATTGGCATCACAGTTATGGACGTTAGTGGTACACTCGTTAATATCTGAAAGGAAGGAATTATAAAGAAAGTATTAAAGATGATGCGGGCAAACGGATCAACGAAACATAATTCCAATACTGCAGCAGAAACGATTTTTGATATACCGGTGCATGCTGTTTCATTTCCAGTATGCACTTGTTATATCTAAAAGGAAGGTATTTTCAGCAGAACGATGTCTATGAATAAAATAATAAGCCTTGGATAAGGAACGTTTCTATGTATGGGGTTCCTCTCTTTCGGACTTCTTAACATACAGTCAAGCTTCTCGTATTCTAAGCCACCAAACAAGATGCAAGTGTAAGTGGTCTCATACGGGAGGTGGCCGCTTATAAGATTCAAACAACAGGGTGCCTTTTCCAAGAAACAGCTTGTACTTTATCACATGGGCTTCCATAAGTACGCTGAGAGATATGTTTGGAGAATTACTTAATGCATTTATGGGGTACTGCTTGTTTCTTGGACCTCGCTAAAATAATTTTACATGCATTAGGCACGATGATTTACCGATGCATGATGTTCCATTTCCAGTATATCCAGGGCTACATGTGCAGTTGTAAGACCCCTGAGTGTTATTGCAGAAAGCATTGGCATCACAGTTATGGACTTTGGCTGTACATTCGTTAATATCTGAAAAGAGAGAATTAAAGTTGCCTGAACACAGTTTGAGAAAGATAGGTTTGGAGAATTACTTAATGCATTTATGGGGTACTGCTTCTTTCTTGCACCTCGCTAAAATAATTTTACATGCATTAGGCAGGATGATTTACCGATGCATGATGTTCCATTTCCAGTGTATCCAGGGCTGCATGTGCAGTTATAAGACCCCTGAGTGTTATTGCAGAAAGCATTGGCATCACAGTTATGGACGTTAGTGGTACACTCGTTAATATCTGAAAGGAAAGAATTATTAAGAAAGTATTAAAGATGATGCGGGCAAAACAGATCAACGAAACCAAGAGCCATAATGGCTCTTGACGAAACATAATTCAAATACTGCAGCTCAAACGATTTTAAGCTCCCCACCCCCAAAAAAAAGCAAAAACAAAAACAAAAGCAAAACATAAAAAGAAAAGCGAAACTTGAAATGAAATGAAAAAAAAAAATCAAAGAGTTAAAATACATACATTGCTTTTTTTTTTTAAAAAATGTATTGGTCATGATAATTTACCGGTGCAAGATATTCCATTTCCATCGTACCCAGGGCTACACGTGCATTTATAAGATCCCTCAGTGTTATTACAGAAAGCATTGGCATCACAGTTATGGACGTTGGCTGTGCACTCGTTAATATCTGAAAGGAGAGAATTAAGGTGCCTGAACACAGTTTAAAGAGATATGTTTGGAGAATTACTTAATTAATTTATGGGTACTGCTTCTTTCTTGGACCTAACTAAAATAATTTTACATACATTAGGCAGGATGATTTACCGATGCATGATGTTCCATTTCCAGTGTATCCAGGGCTACATGTGCAGTTATAAGACCCCTGAGTGTTATTGCAGAAAGCATTGGCATCACAGTTATGGATGTTAGTGGTACACTCGTTAATATCTGAAAGGAAAGAAGTATTAAGAAAGTATTTAAGATGATGCGGGCAAACCGGATCAACGAAACATAATTCCAATACTGCAGCAGAAACGATTTTTGATATACCGGTGCATGCTGTTTCATTTCCAGTATGCACTTGTTATATCTAAAAGGAAGGTATTTTCAGCAGAACGATGTCTATGAATAAAATAATAAGCCTTGGATAAGGAACGTTTCTATGTATGGGGTTCTTCTCTTTCGGACTTCTTAACATACAGTCAAGCTTCTCGCTAAGCGACCAAACAAGATGCAAGTGTAAGTGGTCTCATACGGGAGGTGGTCGCTTATAAGATTCAAACAACAGGGTGCCTTTTCCAAGAAATAGCTTGTACTTTATCAGATGGGCTTCCATAAGTACGCTGAGAGATATGTTTGGAGAATTACTTAATGCATTTATGGGGTACTGCTTGTTTCTTGGACCTCGCTAAAATAATTTTACATGCATTAGGCACGATGATTTACCGATGCATGATGTTCCATTTCCAGTATATCCAGGGCTACATGTGCAGTTGTAAGACCCCTGAGTGTTATTGCAGAAAGCATTGGCATCACAGTTATGGACTTTGGCTGTACACTCGTTAATATCTGAAAAGAGAGAATTAAAGTTGCCTGAACACAGTTTGAGAAAGATATGTTTGGAGAATTACTTAATGCATTTATGGGTACTGCTTCTTTCTTGGACCTCGCTAAAATAATTTTACATGCATTAGGCAGGATGATTTACCGATGCATGATGTTCCATTTCCAGTGTATCCAGGGCTGCATGTGCAGTTATAAGACCCCTGAGTGTTATTGCAGAAAGCATTGGCATCACAGTTATGGACGTTAGTGGTACACTCGTTAATATCTGAAAGGAAAGAATTATTAAGAAAGTATTAAAGATGATGCGGGCAAAACAGATCAACGAAACCAAGAGCCATAATGGCTCTTGACGAAACATAATTCAAATACTGCAGCTCAAACGATTTTAAGCTCCCCCACCCCCCAAAAAAGCAAAAACAAAAACAAAAGCAAAACATAAAAAGAAAAGCGAAACTTGAAATGAAATGAAATAAAAAAAATCAAAGAGTTAAAATACATACATTGCTTTTTTTTTAAAAAAATGTATTGGTCATGATAATTTACCGGTGCAAGATATTCCATTTCCATCGTACCCAGGGCTACACGTGCATTTATAAGATCCCTCAGTGTTATTACAGAAAGCATTGGCATCACAGTTATGGACGTTGGCTGTGCACTCGTTAATATCTGAAAGGAGAGAATTAAGGTGCCTGAACACAGTTTAAGAGAGATATGTTTGGAGAATTACTTAATTAATTTATGGGGTACTGCTTCTTTCTTGGACCTAACTAAAATAATTTTACATACATTAGGCAGGATGATTTACCGATGCATGATGTTCCATTTCCAGTGTATCCAGGGCTACATGTGCAGTTATAAGACCCCTGAGTGTTATTGCAGAAAGCATTGGCATCACAGTTATGGATGTTAGTGGTACACTCGTTAATATCTGAAAGGAAAGAAGTATTAAGAAAGTATTTAAGATGATGCGGGCAAACCGGATCAACGAAACATAATTCCAATACTGCAGCAGAAACGATTTTTGATATACCGGTGCATGCTGTTTCATTTCCAGTATGCACTTGTTATATCTAAAAGGAAGGTATTTTCAGCAGAACGATGTCTATGAATAAAATAATAAGCCTTGGATAAGGAACGTTTCTATGTATGGGGTTCTTCTCTTTCGGACTTCTTAACATACAGTCAAGCTTCTCGCTAAGCGACCAAACAAGATGCAAGTGTAAGTGGTCTCATACGGGAGGTGGTCGCTTATAAGATTCAAACAACAGGGTGCCTTTTCCAAGAAATAGCTTGTACTTTATCAGATGGGCTTCCATAAGTACGCTGAGAGATATGTTTGGAGAATTACTTAATGCATTTATGGGGTACTGCTTGTTTCTTGGACCTCGCTAAAATAATTTTACATGCATTAGGCACGATGATTTACCGATGCATGATGTTCCATTTCCAGTATATCCAGGGCTACATGTGCAGTTGTAAGACCCCTGAGTGTTATTGCAGAAAGCATTGGCATCACAGTTATGGACTTTGGCTGTACATTCGTTAATATCTGAAAAGAGAGAATTAAAGTTGCCTGAACACAGTTTGAGAAAGATAGGTTTGGAGAATTACTTAATGCATTTATGGGGTACTGCTTCTTTCTTGCACCTCGCTAAAATAATTTTACATGCATTAGGCAGGATGATTTACCGATGCATGATGTTCCATTTCCAGTGTATCCAGGGCTGCATGTGCAGTTATAAGACCCCTGAGTGTTATTGCAGAAAGCATTGGCATCACAGTTATGGACGTTAGTGGTACACTCGTTAATATCTGAAAGGAAAGAATTATTAAGAAAGTATTAAAGATGATGCGGGCAAAACAGATCAACGAAACCAAGAGCCATAATGGCTCTTGACGAAACAAAATTCAAATACTGCAGCTCAAACGATTTTAAGCTCCCCCCACCCCCAAAAAAAAAAAACAAAAACAAAAGCAAAACATAAAAAGAAAAGCGAAACTTGAAATGAAATGAAATAAAAAAAAAAAATCAAAGAGTTAAAATACATACATTGCTTTTTTTTTAAAAAAATGTATTGGTCATGATAATTTACCGGTGCAAGATATTCCATTTCCATCGTACCCAGGGCTACACGTGCATTTATAAGATCCCTCAGTGTTATTACAGAAAGCATTGGCATCACAGTTATGGACGTTGGCTGTGCACTCGTTAATATCTGAAAGGAGAGAATTAAGGTGCCTGAACACAGTTTAAGAGAGATATGTTTGGAGAATTACTTAATTAATTTATGGGTACTGCTTTCTTTCTTGGACCTAACTAAAATAATTTTACATACATTAGGCAGGATGATTTACCGATGCATGATGTTCCATTTCCAGTGTATCCAGGGCTACATGTGCAGTTATAAGACCCTGAGTGTTATTGCAGAAAGCATTGGCATCACAGTTATGGATGTTAGTGGTACACTCGTTAATATCTGAAAGGAAAGAAGTATTAAGAAAGTATTTAAGATGATGCGGGCAAACCGGATCAACGAAACATAATTCCAATACTGCAGCAGAAACGATTTTTGATATACCGGTGCATGCTGTTTCATTTCCAGTATGCACTTGTTATATCTAAAAGGAAGGTATTTTCAGCAGAACGATGTCTATGAATAAAATAATAAGCCTTGGATAAGGAACGTTTCTATGTATGGGGTTCTTCTCTTTCGGACTTCTTAACATACAGTCAAGCTTCTCGCTAAGCGACCAAACAAGATGCAAGTGTAAGTGGTCTCATACGGGAGGTGGCCGCTTATAAGATTCAAACAACAGGGTGCCTTTTCCAAGAAATAGCTTGTACTTTATCACATGGGCTTCCATAAGTACGCTGAGAGATATGTTTGGAGAATTACTTAATGCATTTATGGGGTACTGCTTGTTTCTTGGACCTCGCTAAAATAATTTTACATGCATTAGGCACGATGATTTACCGATGCATGATGTTCCATTTCCAGTGTATCCAGGGCTGCATGTGCAGTTATAAGACCCCTGAGTGTTATTGCAGAAAGCATTGGCATCACAGTTATGGACTTTGGCTGTACACTCGTTAATATCTGAAAGGAGAGAATTAAGGTGCCTGAACACAGTTTGATAGGATGTGGATCATAACCAATTATTGGGGTTTTATTTAAGACTCATTGCGGGTATAACGCTAACATTTTGATTCAGCACATCAAACAATCTATATTTATCAGACATGACATTTATTAAGTTAAAAGTGAGACTTGGATTGTTGCCATGGCAACATGGAAGTTTGACAAAAAGCCAAAAAATTTCAATTTATTAGGTTTAAGCAAAATTCAGTCATTGGATTTTCTTAGAAAATTGAACACAGCTTTCGATTAGTAACCCTCATCTTTTAGAAACCACTTGACCAAAATTGTAACGAACAGTTTTTTAAAATCTTCAAGAAAATAGCCTTTATGGAAATCTTGATTTTGTCACAAAACTCCTTTGTTGAAAAGATATTTTGACGCTTTTATTGGCTTGAGCGTGACATGAACCGGATTTCTGCCAAATTTCGTCACATTTTAATGAGTAGATTTAAAGATATTGTAGTTTATTTACGTTGCTTATGAAAGTACGCATGTTCAGCTCTAGTTCAACAGGCCCGCGCTGAGGTCACGTGATATGTCAAAGGCGACAAAAACATTATTTTCTGTTAAACTTTTTATCAGCCTTTCCTCCCTCTTTTTCTTTATGTAATGATAAATTTGTTAAAATACACAGTAAAGGGATAAATCAGATTTAGAGAAATTGTGTTCAGCAACCTTAGATGTTAAGACAAATCAAAACAAACCCAAACAAATATTGCTTATAACGGAGCAGAGACGTAATTTACACCGCCCCCCCGCCCTGTCCTACCCCCGCTCCCCCCAGTTTGAATAGCAATAATATATGGTCGCTTAAAAATGCAAATGCGTTGATAATTTACCGGCGCAGGATGTTCCATTTCCAGTATATCCAGGGCTGCATGCGCAGGTGTAAGATCCATCAGTGTTATCACAGAAAGCATTTGCATCACAATTATGGACATTAGTGGTACACTCGTTAATATCTGAAGGGAGAGAATGTATGAAGATAAAAAGAAAAAAAAAAAAACAAATCCAAACAAATATTGCATTTTGCCTACACTACCCAGAAAGACACCCACCCAAGAATAAATGCGGGGGCCTCTGGGTCAGCAAGGACCTCAAAACCAGTTCATTGCAAAATTACCGTAAGTTTACAAGACCGCTCCTAATTACAAAACGCCCTATGGTGAAACACAAACCTCGAAAGCAACTAAGACAACTAAGTACGACACTGTCGGATACGAAAACCCAAAACTACTTTGTGGAAAAAAGAGAACGTGCATCCACCACCTGCTGAAATCAACTGCGGAGGCGACAACTCGAGATCAGAGGTACGCAAAAACATTTTAGCTGCAAGCAGAGAATTAAAGGGGTTTGCTGGATATCAGAATCAAAGCTAATAAAGGCAACAGGAAAAAGGGACTGGCACTGCATAGTGTGATGAACTTTGCAAGACGATTAGTTTAAGGGTTTACCAAGACACGATTTTCCATTTCCAAAGTACCCAGGATTACAAGTGCAAATATAAGATCCAATGGTATTGTTACAAAACGCATTGACATCACATGAATGGATGCTGGTTTCACACTCGTCTATATCTGAAAAAGATTGAAAAAATATTTTTGAATTGAATCGTGCATCGCTAGAGATCGTGCCTGATATGTTGTGGTTTAATTGGAAGCGCAAGCAGTTATGTTCAAATTTTAAACTGATTTTAAGTTTTATGGTATCATTATATAGTTGATAAATAAACATAAACATATATAGAAAAATAAAAGAAGAGAAAAAGAAAAGCTTCCTTGGATGTTTAGGGAGATGGACGATAATTCTTGCGAAGCGAGTTTATAATCTCGTCGAGCGCGAAGCGCGCGCGCATCACGTGAACCACCCGTGCTCTTAGCCAGATGCAAATTTCGATGCCCCATAAATAAATAAATAAATAAATAAATAAATAAATAAATAAATGAACAAATATTTCTATGAATATATGCTTGGTGTCCGCCAAGGGAAGAAGCTAGGAAAGGTCTGTAAAGCAGCATTTGAGCCATTTGTTGGTATTCAAAATATAATGGAATTATAGGATTTATATATTTGCCTTTTGTTGTGTCTAATTCTTAACGCGATTTCTAAATTTGTTCCACCGGAATAGATATGACAAGAAAAATCATATTCTAGAGTACGTCCGGTTATCGTATTTTTGGAAATGACGTTATGTATGACTCAATGTCTTACCTCTTCCTTCATGTATGCTTTATATAGCGATGTCGCAGAAAAAAAAAGGCAAAACACAAACTGCACCCCTACAGGAATTCTTTTGTTGACTGCATTGCACTGGAAGTCCACGAGACGGTTTACGGACAAACTAGCCGATTCGTTGCAGTTGGATTACTAGTAACCATCTCGAAAAAACCAACTCTACATCCTCACTCGAAAATCCAACTCGAAATCCTATTTCGAAAATCCAACTCGAAAATCCAAATCGAAATCCTAACTCGAAAATCCAACTCAAATTCCTATCTCGAAAATCCAGCTCGAAATCTAACTCGAAATCCTAACTCGGAAGTTAGTTTATTTGTCTCCAATAGTTTGCCCCTTCGAATAGTTCTTTACACAAAAAAAAGTCGCTGACTGTGCCCCCGAATCAGGGGACCCAACGACGGTTTCCTCCTAAACGCATTGAAAAGTCTTTTATGCTATCCAGAGTACTTTTAGATCTCTAGAAATGTATTCTAAGCAGCACTATAAAAGTTGCATCTGTTCGGTCATCCTAGGGAAACTGAAGGCTTTTCGAAATTACAAGGGCTTCACTGTTATTTTTCCGAAAATTTTAGATGCAGTTGAACGAACTCGGTGAGAATTTTTCTTGTTCTTCTTTTCATCTCATTTTTGAATCCGAAAATTTTCGGTTTTTCTATTTGTACGAAAATTAGCCTAACGTAAGGAGTAAAAGATGAAAAATTACACTTCAGAAAATAGTAGGGAATTTTTTAGATAAGTTTCCAAAATCGTACCTGAATGGAGCGCTCTTCTAGAAATTTTTAGCCGTATTCAAGCAATAGAATATTCTAGGCAATATTTGCTTCTGCGAACAGATATTTTACAGGAAACAGTCGTTTTGTGCCCCTGCCGAATCAGAAATGCAAAAATACTGAAACAAAATGTAAAATTCCCCGGGAAACAAATTTGTCTTTTAAACTTACCCTACCTGAGATACCTACTGCGAAACAAGTGCGCGGGCTCTTGAAAAATAAAGTTCTAAGAGCGGACTAAACCGAGATATGACAGGGCAAGTTTAGAAGCCTTTAATCGCTAGTTGAGGGTGTTACGAGTAGACAGCCGGACTTTTAAAAAGTTGTAACGTTTGCTTACCCTGCACCGCGGCGTCAAGTTTTGATCCTTTAGCATCATCATCAACATCATTATTTCGAGATATTATCAATGACAACATTATAGCAGCAATAACCAAAATGACAACGGCAATAAGACAGATGAAGACAGTTAACATAATCAGTATTCGCCGGTCATTTTCACGACTTGGACTCTCTATCGTGGGGTCACTCATGTTCTCCCTCGTTCACTTTTATCAGCCCAGACTCTGAAGTTGTCAACTTGTTTCCACTGCCACTACAAATAATATCCCACTTTTTCAGGGATATTAAACTTATACAATCTATTTAAAATATTCCGTTCTGTTGTTGGCCCCAGGCATTCTCCCACTTTTAACACACGCAAACGCTTCGCAGGAGCCCCCTTTTTTCGCACTAAAAATAACCTCTTGCTCTTAAAAATAACCTCTTGCTTTGTTTGCATTGCAGACAGGATTGTCTACGGCTGATTTCAAGAAATATATATTTAAGTCCTCAGCTTCTACGTTCGTTATAAGGATGTAAGATCTTGAGCCGACGTAAAGATGCATGATGATAGCCCATGCGTCATGATAAAGTGATTTTACTTGAATAGTGGGACAAGTACGAACAAATAGTAAGTGCAAAATAGCAGGGACAGCCTCCGAGAAAATAGTTCGAAACCACTTAAACATAGCATTGTTAAACCTACTCTAGTATTTAAAGGGCAGATATAGGCTTATTTTTATCCCCTAAAAATTTTTCATCTGTTCTGATTTCCTAGTCTTACTAGTGATCGAAAAATTATGGGGATCAAAACTCACCTTTTCGAAAATTTCAGCCAGAAAAAAAGGCCCTGAAAATTCTTGGTGACCTCAGGGTAAAAATACGTTAAAAACATGGGCAATTATATGATTTTTTAGATGTTCAAAAATCCTAGAAGAGGCAGGCAAGCAAGAAATTTTAAAACAAATGTTCCGAAAATTCTAGATTTCAAATCGTCTCCCGAACAGATATTTTCCGAAAACTGACGTTGGGTGCCCCTAATATAGCAAGGGTAAAACAAAGAAGGCAATCGAATTAGTGCATAATAGTGTAAAGTAGAAAGTATTTGAATTTCTGGTATTATGGGAATGAACTTGATTTGTCATTAAAAACATTTCTTTAAATACATTAGGAAGCAGGCCTACTTAATAAGAATACATGAACTTTCCAACTTGAAAAAAGTAAATTTGAGATAATTTCAGTATTTGCAAACGTTTGAATTTAGGATCAGTGTGAGCATCAAATGGCGTCTTGGAAATAATTCGAATTTTTTTTTTTTCTGACGTAGAACAATACGATTCAAGTTTGTGGGATACTTCGATGCCCAAACTAAGTTGTAAAAAAGGCTGCGTAAAGAAGTAACAGGAAGGCAAAAGCTTGATATATATATTACTCCAATCACTCATTCAATCAATCTAGAAACGAGGCTGCTTTGGCAATTTCTGACTAAAACTGAACGGAAGAAATGCAAGAATACGCAGTAACACGGTGAAGAACGGACGTAAAAAAGCATGGCAATTTAATTTCCTAGGTGATAATAACTACTGGTGCTGTAATGCAGATTTCTCACTGTCATTTTCTTAAAGGTCAAAATCGTGGTTTCACAGCCCGCAGCCAGAGTATAAAAAGACACAGTTTAATAAAACGGGTGTTTTCAGACCCCACAGTAACAGGGATAATTTGCTTTTTAATCGTGGTTTTACGCACCGGAGCACATTTAAATATAACTTAATTATATATATAACTTAACGGTCACGAGATAGTCGTATGATATTTTTAAACCAATTACGTTTTAGCCCAAAAAATCAAATATATATGATATAAATTAATCCAGCTAGTGGTCTATGAAACCTCAAATATGGAAAAATGGCAATTTTAAGGGTGGCTGATACCTTAAGGTGCCTGAACACAGTTTAAGAAAGATATGTTTGGAGAATTACTTAATTAATTTATGGGGTACTGCTTGTTTCTTGGACCTCGCTAAAATAATTTTACATGCATTAGGCACGATGATTTACCGATGCATGATGTTCCATTTCCAGTGTATCCAGGGCTGCATGTGCAGTTATAAGACCCCTGAGTGTTACTGCAGAAAGCATTGGCATCACAGTTATGGATATTAGTGGTACACTCGTTAATATCTGAAAGGAAAGAAGTATTAAGAAAGTATTTAAGATGATGCGGGCAAACCGGATCAACGAAACATAATTCCAATACTGCAGCAGAAACGATTTTTGATATACCGGTGCATGCTGTTTCATTTCCAGTATGCACTTGTTATATCTAAAAGGAAGGTATTTTCAGCAGAACGATGTCTATGAATGAAATAATAAGCCTTGGATAAGGAACGTTTCTATGTATGGGGTTCTTCTCTTCAAGCTTCTCGCTGAGCGACCAAACAAGATGCAACTGTAAGTGGTCTCATACGGGAGGTGGCCGCTTATAAGATTCAAACAACAGGGTGCGTTTTCCAAGAAATAGCTTGTACTTTATCAGATGGGCTTCCATAAGTACGCTGAGAGATATGTTTGGAGAATTACTTAATGCATTTATGGGGTACTGCTTGTTTCTTGGACCTCGCTAAAATAATTTTACATGCATTAGGCACGATGATTTACCGATGCATGATGTTCCATTTCCAGTATATCCAGGGCTACATGTGCAGTTATAAGACCCCTGAGTGTTATTGCAGAAAGCATTGGCATCACAGTTATGGACTTTGGCTGTACATTCGTTAATATCTGAAAAGAGAGAATTAAAGTTGCCTGAACACAGTTTGAGGAAGATAGGTTTGGAGAATTACTTAATGCATTTATGGGGTACTGCTTCTTTCTTGCACCTCGGTAAAATAATTTTACATGCATTAGGCAGGATGATTTACCGATGCATGATGTTCCATTTCCAGTGTATCCAGGGCTGCATGTGCAGTTATAAGACCCCTGAGTGTTATTGCAGAAAGCATTGGCATCACAGTTATGGACGTTAGTGGTACACTCGTTAATATCTGAAAGGAAAGAATTATTAAGAAAGTATTAAAGATGATGCGGGCAAAACAGATCAACGAAACCAAGAGCCATAATGGCTCTTGACGAAACATAATTCAAATACTGCAGCTCAAACGATTTTAAGCTCCCCACCCCCAAAAAAAAAAAAACAAAAACAAAAGCAAAACATAAAAAGAAAAACGAAACTTGAAATGAAATGAAATAAAAAAAATCAAAGAGTTAAAATACATACATTGCTTTTTTAAAAAAAAAATGTATTGGTCATGATAATTTACCGGTGCAAGAAATTCCATTTCCATCGTACCCAGGGCTACACGTGCATTTATAAGATCCCTCAGTGTTATTACAGAAAGCATTGGCATCACAGTTATGGACGTTGGCTGTGCACTCGTTAATATCTGAAAGGAGAGAATTAAGGTGCCTGAACACAGTTTAAGAGAGATATGTTTGGAGAATTACTTAATTAATTTTATGGGTACTGCTTCTTTCTTGGACCTAACTAAAATAATTTTACATACATTAGGCAGGATGATTTACCGATGCATGATGTTCCATTTTCAGTGTATCCAGGGCTACATGTGCAGTTATAAGACCCCTGAGTGTTATTGCAGAAAGCATTGGCATCACAGTTATGGATGTTAGTGGTACATTCGTTAATATCTGAAAGGAAAGAAGTATTAAGAAAGTATTTAAGATGATGCGGGCAAACCGGATCAACGAAACATAATTCCAATACTGCAGCAGAAACGATTTTTGATATACCGGTGCATGCTGTTTCATTTCCAGTATGCACTTGTTATATCTAAAAGGAAGGTATTTTCAGCAGAACGATGTCTATGAATGAAATAATAAGCCTTGGATAAGGAACGTTTCTATGTATGGGGTTCTTCTCTTTCGGACTTCTTAACATACAGTCAAGCTTCTCGCTAAGCGACCAAACAAGATGCAACTGTAAGTGGTCTCATACGGGAGGTGGCCGCTTATAAGATTCAAACAACAGGGTGCGTTTTCCAAGAAATAGCTTGTACTTTATCAGATGGGCTTCCATAAGTACGCTGAGAGATATGTTTGGAGAATTACTTAATGCATTTATGGGGTACTGCTTCTTTCTTGCACCTCGCTAAAATAATTTTACATGCATTAAGCACGATGATTTACCGATGCATGATGTTCCATTTCCAGTGTATCCAGGGCTGCATGTGCAGTTATAAGACCCCTGAGTGTTATTGCAGAAAGCATTGGCATCACAGTTATGGCCTTTGGCTGTACACTCGTTAATATCTGAAAGGAGAGAATTAAGGTGCCTGAACACAGTTTGATAGGTTGTGGATCATAACCAATTATTGGGGTTTTATTTAAGACTCATTGCGAGTATAACGCTAAAATTTTGATTCAGCACATCAGACAATCTATATTTATCAGACATGACATTTATTAAGTTAAAAGTGAGACTTGGATTGTTGCCATGGCAACATGGAAGTTTGACAACAAGCCAAAAAATTTCAATTTATTAGGTTTAAGCAAAATTCAGTCATTGGATTTTCTTAGAAAATTGAACACAGCTTTCGATTAGTAACCCTCATCTTTTAGAAACCACTTGACCAAAATTATAACGAACAGTTTTTTAAAATCTTCAAGAAAATAGCCTTTATGGAAATCTTGATTTTGTCACAAAACTCCTTTGTTGAAAAGATATTTTGACGCTTTTATTGGCTTGAGCGTGACATGAACAGGATTTCTGTCATATTTCGTCACATTTTAATGAGTAGATTTAAAGATATTGTAGTTTATTTACGTTGCTTACGAAAGTACGCATGTTCAGCTCTAGTTCAACAGGCCCGCGCTGAGGTCACGTGATATGTCAAAGGCGACAAAAACATTATTTTCTGTTAAACTTTTTATCAGCCTTTCCTCCCTCTTTTTCTTTATGTAATGATAAATTTGTTAAAATACACAGTAAAGGGATAAATCAGATTTAGAGAAATTGTGTTCAGCAACCTTAGATGTTAAGACAAATCAAAACAAACCCAAACAAATATTGCTTATAACGGAGCAGAGACGTAATTTACACCGCCCCCCCCCGCCCTGTCCTACCCCCGCTCCCCCCAGTTTTAATAGCAATAATATATGGTCGCTTAAAAATGGAAATGCGTTGATAGTTTACCAGCGCAGGATGTTCCATTTCCAGTATATCCAGGGCTGCATGCGCAGGTGTAAGATCCATCAGTGTTATCACAGAAAGCATTTGCATCACAATTATGGACATTAGTGGTACACTCGTTAATATCTGAAGGGAGAGAATGTATGAAGATAAAAAGAAAAAAAAAACAAATCCAAACAAATATTGCATTTTGCCTACACTACCCAGAAAGACACCCACCCAAGAATAAATGCGGGGGCCTCTGGGTCAGCAAGGACCTCAAAACCAGTTCATTGCAAAATTACCGTAAGTTTACAAGACCGCTCCTAATTACAAAACGCCCTATGGTGAAACACAAACCTCGAAAGCAACTAAGACAACTAAGTACGACACTGTCGGATACGAAAACCCAAAACTACTTTGTGGAAAAAAGAGAACGTACATCCACCACCTGCTGAAATCAACTGCGGAGGCGACAACTCGAGATCAGAGGTACGCAAAAACATTTTAGCTGCAAGCAGAGAATTAAAGGGGTTTGCTGGATATCAGAATCAAAGCTAATAAAGGCAACAGGAAAAAGGGACTGGCACTGCATAGTGTGATGAACTCTGCAAGACGATTAGTTTAAGGTTTTACCAAGACACGATTTTCCATTTCCAAAGTACCCAGGATTACAAGTGCAAATATAAGATCCAATGGTATTGTTACAAAACGCATTGACATCACATGAATGGATGCTGGTTTCACACTCGTCTATATCTGAAAAAGATTGAAAAAATATTTTTGAATTGAATCGTGCATCGCTAGAGATCGTGCCTGATATGTTGTGGTTTAATTGGAAGCGCAAGCAGTTATGTTCAAATTTTAAACTGATTTTAAGTTTTAGGGTATCATTATATAGTTGATAATTAAACATAAACATATATGGAAAAATAAAAGAAGAGAAAAAGAAAAGCTTCCTTGGATGTTTAGGGAGATGGAAGATAATTCTTGCGAAGCGAGTTTATAATCTCGTCGAGCGCGAAGCGCGCGCGCATCACGTGAACCACCCGTGCTCTTAGCCAGATGCAAAATTCGATGCCCCATAAATAAATAAATAAATAAATAAATAAATAAATAAATGAACAAATATTTCTATGAATATATGCTTGGTGTCCGCCAAGGGAAGAAGCTAGGAAAGGTCTGTAAAGCAGCATTTGAGCCATTTGTTGGTATTCAAAATATAATGGAATTATAAGATTTATATATTTGCCTTTTGTTGTGTCTAATTCTTAAATCATATTCTAGAGTACGTCCGGTTATCGTATTTTTGGAAATGACGTTATGTATGACTCAATGTCTTACCTCTTCCTTCATGTATACTTTATATAATGATGTCGCAGAATAAAAAGGCAAAATACCAACCCCACCCCTACAGGAATTCTTTTGTTGACTGCATTGCACTGGACATCTACGAGACAGTTTACGGACAAACTAGCCGATTCATTGCAGCTGGATTACTAGTAACCATCTCGAAAAAAAAAAAAACAACAACTCTACATCCTTACTCGAAATCCAACTCGAAATCCTCACTCGAAAATCCAACTCGAAAATTCAAATCGAAATCCTAACTCGAAAATCCAACTCAAATTCCTATCTCGAAAATCCAGCTCGAAATCTAACTCGAAATCCTAACTCGGAAGTTAGCTTATTTGTCTCCAATAGTTTGCCCCTTCGAATAGTTCTTTTACAGAAAAAAAGTCGCTGACTGTGTGCCCCCGAATCAGGGGCACCCAACGACGGTTTCCTCCTAAACGCATTGAAAAGTCTTTTTATGCTATCCAGAGTACTTTTAGATCTCTAGAAAATGTCTTCCTAACCAGCGCTATAAAATTTGCATCTGTTCGGTCATCCTAGGGGAACTGAAGGCTTTTCGAAATTACAAGGGCTTCACTGTTATTTTTCCGAAAATTTTAGATGCAGTTGAACGAACTCGGTGAGAATTTTTCTTGTTCTTCTTTTCATCTCATTCATTGTGAATCCGAAAATTTTCGGTTTTTCTTTTTCTACGAAAATTAGCCTAACATAAGGAGTAAAAGATGAAAAATTACACTTCAGAAAATAGTAGGGAATTTTTTAGATAAGTTTCGAAAATCGTACCTGAATGGAGCGCTCTTCTAGAAATTTTTAGCCGTATTCAAGCAATAGAATATTCTAGGCAATATTTGCTTCTGCGAACAGATATTTTACAGAAAACAGTCGTTGGGTGCCCCTGCCGAATCAGGAATGCAAAAATACTGAAACAAAATGTAAAATTCCCCGGGAAACAAATTTGTCTTTTAAACTTACCCTAGCTGAGATACCTACTGCAAAACAAGTGCGCGGGCTCTTTAAACATAAAGTTCTAAGAGCGGACTAAACCGAGATATGACAGGGCAAGTTTAGAAGCCTTTAATCGCTAGTTGAGGGTGTTACGAGTAGACAGCCGGACTTTTAAAAAGTTGTAACGTTTGCTTACCCTGCACCGCGGCGTCAAGTTTTGATCCTTTAGCATCATCATCAACATCATTATTTCGAGATATTATCAATGACAACATTATAGCAGCAATAACCAAAATGACAACGGCAATAAGACAGATGAAGACAGTTAACATAATCAGTATTCGCCGGTCATTTTCACGACTTGGACTCTCTATCGTGGAGTCACTCATGTTCTCCCTCGTTCACTTTTATCAGCCCAGACTCTGAAGCTGTCAACTTGTTTCCACTGCCACTACTGACAAATAATATCCCACTTTTTCAGGGACATTAAACTTATACAATCTATTTAAAATATTCCGTTCTGTTGTTGGCCCCAGGCATTCTCCTACTTTTAACACACGCAAACGCTTCGCAGGAGCCCCCTTTTTTCGCACTAAAAATAACCTCTTGCTTTGTTTGCATTGCAGACAGGATTGTCTACGGCTGATTTCAAGAAACATTTATTTAAGTCCTCAGCTTCTACGTTCGTTATAAGGATGTAAGATCTTGAGCCGGCGTAAAGATGCATGATGATAGCCCATGCGTCATGATAAAGTGATTTTACTTGAACAGTGAAACAAGGACGAACAAATAGTAAGTGCAATACAGCAGGGACACCCTCCGAGAAAATAGTTCGAAACCACTTAAACATAGCATTGTTAAACCTACTCTAGTATTTAAAGGGCAGATATAGGCATATTTTTTATCCCCTAAAAATTTTTCCTCTGTTCTGATTTCCTAGTCTTACTAGTGATCGAAAAATTATGGGGATCAAAACTCACCTTTTCGAAAATTTTAGCCAGAAAAAAGGCTCCCGAAAATTCTTGGTGACCTCAGGGTAAAAATACGTTAAAAACATGGGCAATTATATGATTTTTTAGATGTTCAAAAATCCTAGAAGAGGCAGGCAAGCAAGAAATTTTAAAACAAATGTTCCGAAAATTCTAGATTTCAAATCGTCCGCCGAACAGATATTTTCCGAAAACTGACGTTGGGTGCCCCTAATATAGCAAGGGGTAAACAAAAGAAGGCAATCGAATTAGTGCATAATAGTGTAAAGTAGAAAGTATTTGAATTTCTGGTATTATGAGAATGAACTTGATTTGTCATTAAAAACATTTCTTTAAATACATTAGGAAGCAGGCCTACTTAATAAGAATACATGAACTTTCCAACTTGAAAAAAGTAAATTTGAGATAATTTCAGTATTTGCAAACGTTTGAATTTAGGATCAGTGTGAGCATCAAATGGCGTCTTGGAAATAATTCGAATTTTTTTTTTTTCTGACGTAGAACAATACGATTCAAGTTTGTGGGATACGTCGAAACCCATACTGAAGTACAATATACAAGATAAGGATAAACCAAGTTGTAATAAAGGCTACGTAAAGAAGTAACAGGAAGGCAAAAGCTTGATTTATGTATTACTGCAATCACTCATTCAATCAATCTAGACACGAGGCTGCTTTGGCAATGGTGATCTAAAAAAAGTCCCTTTCGCATGGCAATTTCTGACTAAAACTGAACGGAAGAAATGCAAGAATACGCAGTAACACGGTGAAGTACTGGCGTAAACATGCATGGCATTTAAATTTCCTAGGAGATAATAACTACTGGTGCTGTAATGCAGATTTCTCACCGTCATTTTCTTAAGGGTCAAAATCGTGGTGTCACAGCCCGCAGCCAGAGTATAAAAAGAGACAGTTTAATAAAAAGGGTGTTTTCAGACCCCACAGTAAGAGGGATAATTTGCTTTTTAATCGATCGTGGTTTTACGCACGGGAGCACATTTAAATATAACTTAATTATCTATATAACTTAACTTAAAGTCACGAGATAGTCGTATGATATTTTTAAATCAATTACGTTTTAACCCAAAAAATCAAATATATATGATATAAATTAATCCAGCTAGTGGTCTATTATCAATGCTGCGTTCTGATTGGTTGAGCTGGTACTAGGCTATATGTTATAGTCCACTAGTAGCGAAAAGCGCCGGCTTTGAAAGCCAAAACAACGGCGGCTGAATCGCGTTTTCCTAGCTAAAGGGGGGGGGGGTGGGGTGATCATCCAGACCCTGACATAATGAGGAGCCTGGCCTCACTTTGGTCTAAAAATAAGGTGGGGGGGAGGGCGGCCCCCTTGGGCTCCTCCCCTAGATCCGCCACTGATCTGGTATTTGCCCCTATCAACGTAAAAATTGGACAATTGATTTACTAATTGATTGGTTTATTTGTTTTCGTCACTTTACAGGTTACATATACTGAAAAATATAGAAAAAGATAGTGACGGGAAAGCCTGTACTGGAAGCCTAGGGCTTATATGGGGTCCAGGCTCTCCCTAGATTAGTTTAAGTAGACATATAACATTAGGGAAAAGACGATGCGATTTTACAAAATAAATCACAGTAGAAACTAGAATACAGGAAAAGAGAAGAATAATTAACAATTAAAGAATAAAGCTGAGTATCTTATGAGGAATTATGGAGATTGAGGTGGGTGTTATCAGTCGAGGCCGAGGCCGAGGCCGAGGCCGAGGCGGATAACACCCTCCGAGATCTCCATAATTCTTCATATGATGCGAAAGCCGCATTCAATAATTGTTTTATTATCCATTCGAAATAATTCCTAGTTTAAAAACATGGCTAAAACATGCTTACCTCCATCGATCCATCGATGTTAAGTTCATCTTCGATACTACACGTTTAGGTTTTGTTCAGCTCCGCAAATATTCTCTAAATAGCAGATGTCGCCCGTCGAGTTGCCTTCTTGCTGTTCTTGCCATGTTTTTAGCTATTTTTTCGACTAGTTAACGTTCTTACTCTTGAAACGAATGAATTGTCCGCCATTTTTCAAATTCACAACCAAAACAACTCAACCTCGTCCCCAGGTCTTCTCGGTTAACGGTGCATTCACCTGCAAGAACGCTGCATTTTTGACGTCAGTTCCTCGCTAAACACAAAATTCTTCCAAATTTCGACATCAGTAACTGGTTATGGTGAATTATGCGCGTGCTTTTAGCCAATCAAAATAGGTGAAATATTTTGAATGAATAATAAGGGATCTTACTAGCTTCAAACTCGCGATATCCTAGGATATAACTTTTATTATGTTTCTATCTTATTTCTTTAATGACTCATTTCTTGTTATTATATTATATTTCAAATTATTACTATTTTTACTAGTATTATTAGTCTTGCTTACCATACGAACTAAGTAGTCACGTTTATAAGAGCCGATAGGAACAGATAAAATTGTACTAAATTCTTGTGCCAAATTATTGTTAGTTAATCACTAGTTTTAATTTTATAACTTGTAATTGTTACACGGCATGTCTGAAAACCAGATTGCTGAGCCATTGTTTACCGTGTTTAAAGAAAGTTGATTGATTGATTGATTGATAGATTGCCGTCCCGTTACGGCAAGTGGAACACGGAGTCTTGTAATAAGGTACATTTTCTAATAAGCACAATTAAAATACTACAATGGGTTTATTTAAAAAGGGTTGTTGCTATTAGAAATACGGATTACAACTTTTTGCAAAGATTTTAATTTCGGGAATGAAAATACACCGACTATTCGAATTTTTTTTTCAAATCTACATTTCATGTTCAAATCGCTCGGATGATCAAGTTGTTCAACTTCATTTTCGAGGTCAGAACCATTAGAATCATTTAAAAGCTACAAAGAAAGTTTCTCCAACATTGAAGAACACAATAGTTTTTTTTTTTTTTTCCATTCAAAGTTGGGTATTCGTTGTCCCCTAAAGGTAGCTCCAACAATAGCCCAACATTGGGCAGAGTACTGAGGGAGGGAAAGGTACATTTTTTCTTATGAAGTCGGCATAAGGTCACAAACGCTGAAAGAGTGACATAGTATCGCAACTTACCTTTTCGCAAATTGCTAAAAAAACAAACAAACAAAAACAAATCAAAACAAAAAAGCCTCGCCAAGCTTTAACGTTTCGCAGATGACCCCTTGGAACGCAATATTAAAGCCGGAATTTGGCCTGTCGAAACGTCTGAACGGTTGCCGTATTTTGACGATGTCAAGAAATAAACTCTGACACCAGAACAACGTGCACCTGGCATGCCGTCGTCAAGAGCGTAAGAGAGTTCGGATGTTACTATTCTAACAACTGCAGTATATCTTTCATTATTACTTATGGCGATCTCTTGTGAGAAGTGCACTTCAAACGTCTTCTCACTGGAGCTAGTAGGGTAGGTTCTAGTCTCGTTAGCGATCAACAAGCCCTTTTCCCCGTACAAACTCATGGTGACCAGGAAAGTAGTTGAATTGACGCTTTGGACTCCCCACAGACGGTACCCTGACAGAATGGCGTCATTCTGAATTGTCAAGAAATCGATAGCGTCCACTTTGTCACTGCCACTAGGATTAGTTGAGTAAGCCCAAAAATATGACTGGTTTGGCATCCTGGATGCGCTGCGCCAGCAGTCAGTCTGATATATTTCTGAAAAGGGAGATAGAAAGAAAACAGTAAACTATTCCACGCTGCAACAATTATCGCATCGCATTCAGATCGGGCAAGAGAGAATGATCTCTCTTGGATCAGGGGAAATTCGGCTCAACCGTCTCAGAACCCCGGAATGGACAGGTTAATTCCTCGTGAAAGAGAGTTTATAAACTTGTCGCGCGCGCAGCGTGCGAGCAGCGCGTGGATCGCACGAAGTCTGAGCGGCATGCAAAGCCGGTTGGCCCATATATATTTGTATATATCGGTCACTTCCGGTTGGTATCCGGTTGACGTCACCTGTGGTTACGCAGCGTTGTGTGTTTCCAGGCAACATTCGAGTGCAGAGTGAACCGGTTTATTGGGGAATCATTCGACATGAAGGTGTGGTGTTTTATTTATCTTTTGTGAAAGCAATTTTTGCTATCGGTAAATCACGAGCAATTTCCTTAAATGCGAATGACCCAGAACAGCAAACACAACAACTCTGGATTCAACAAGTGGCTGCAAATCCTTGACGGAAAACATCATGACCACCGAGACACCTTTAAGAGCAAAAACGCCGAATTGAGATTCAGCGCGAGCAACGAAGAAAACGATGACAGCAAGAAACCTCGCAGCAGAGAGAATATCGCTTTGCACAACGAAGAAGAAGCCGTCAACAAGGGACAGAAGACATACACAGTCAGCTGTACAGAGGTGGCGACAAAATACCACAATTACAACGGCTAGGACAAAACGCTGACCCCAGTTTAACTGACCCCCTACTGACCCCCTCTTAAATTCACTGGAAATTATTAATTTAAAAACTCCAACCTCATAATATAGTTTTACTAGTGTTAGTTATAATGATATACCGGCGGTGCATGCTGTTCCATTTCCAGTATATCCAGGAGCGCATGTGCAGGTGTAAGATCCATCAGTGTTATTACAGAACGCATTGGGATCACAGTTATGGACGTTAGTCGTGCACTCGTTGATATCTAAAAGGAGAGAATAATCAAGAAAATATTAAAGATGACGCGGGCAAAACGGATCAACGAAACATAATTCCAATACTGCAGCAGAAACGATTTTTGATATACCGGTGCATGCTGTTCCATTTCCAGCATAACCAGGAGCGCATGTGCAGGTATAAGATCCATCTGACCCATCAGTGTTATTACAGAACGCATTGGGATCACAGTTATGGACGTTAGTCGTACACTCGTTAATATCTAAAAAGACAGTAAAAAAAAGCTCTTATTTTTACAGACGGGTTTTCATAAGTAAGCTGAGTAAGGGTGGACTTCCACTGTCACGTGATCTTTACGTACGTGTAAAGGCACGTAAATTCTACTCGAGTAAATAAAATAGAGGTAAGGTACAAAGTGTCGAGCTTAAACTTGAAGTTGAGCGAAGTTCAACTTTGACGTTGCGTGCGCCCTTTTATGCATTGCCTCTATTTCATTTGCGAACGTAAATTTTACGCACCGGCACGTAAAAATTACGCGACAGTGGAAATCCACCCTAAGGTAATACGGAGAGAAGCACTCTATGTATGGGATGCTTCTTTCTTAGACCTCATAATATAGTTTTACAAGTATTGGTCGTAATGACATACCGGTGCATGCTGTTCCATTTCCAGTGAATCCAGGGCTGCATGTGCAGTTATATGATCCATCAGTGTTATTGCAGAAAGCATTCGCAGCACATTTATGGACCTTAGTCGTACACTCATTGATATCTGAAAGGAAAGTATACAAAACGCAAAACATTATCACAGTTATGGACCTTAGACGTGGGCTCGTTATGTCTAAAAGGAAGGTAAAAAACCCTTATTTTAAGGAGAAAGACGTCTATGAATAAAATAATAAGCCTTGGATAGGAAAGCTTTCTACGTATGAGGTTCTTCTCTTTCGGACAACACAACATACAGTCAAGCCTATCGTATTCTAAGCGACCAAACAAAATGCGAAGTGTATTGGTGGTCTCATACGGGAGGCGGCCGCTTACATGCAAGAATCAAACAACAGGGTGCCTTTTCCAAGAAAAATCTCGTACTTTATCAGATCAGACCGGCTTCTATAAGTACACTGAGAGATATGTTTGGAGAATTACTTAATGAATTTATGGGGTACTGCTTCTTTCTTGGACCTAACTAAAATAATTTTACATACATTAGGCAGGATGATTTACCGATGCATGATGTTCCATTTCCAGTGTATCCAGGGCTGCATGTGCAGTTATAAGACCCCTGAGTGTTATTGCAGAAAGCATTGGCATCACAGTTATGGATGTTAGTGGTACACTCGTTAATATCTGAAAGGAAAGAATTATTAAGAAAGTATTAAAGATGATGCGGGCAAAGCGGATCAACGAAACATAATTCCAATACTGCAGCAGAAACGATTTTTAATATACCGGTGCATGCTGTTTCATTTCCAGTATGCACTTGTTATATCTAAAAGGAAGGTATTTTCAGCAGAACGATGTCTATGAATGAAATAATAAGCCTTGGATAAGGAACGTTTCTATGTATGGGGTTCTTCTCTTTCGGACTTCTTAACATACAGTCAAGCTTCTCGTATTCTAAGCGACCAAACAAGATGCAAGTGTAAGTGGTCTCATACGGGAGGTGGACGCTTATAAGATTCAAACAACAGGGTGCCTTTTCCAAGAAATAGCTTGTACTTTATCAGATGGGCTTCCATAAGTACGCTGAGAGATATGTTTGGAGAATTACTTAATGCATTTATGGGGTACTGCTTGTTTCTTGGACCTCGCTAAAATAATTTTACATGCATTAGGCACGATGATTTACCGATGCATGATGTTGCATTTCCAGTATATCCAGGGCTACATATGCAGCTGTAAGACCCCTGAGTGTTGTTGCAGAAAGCATTGGCATCACAGTTATGGACTTTGGCTGTACACTCGTTAATATCTGAAAAGAGAGAATTAAAGTTGCCTGAACACAGTTTGAGAAAGATAGGTTTGGAGAATTACTTAATGCATTTATGGGGTACTGCTTCTTTCTTGGACCTCGCTAAAATAATTTTACATGCATTAGGCACGATGATTTACCGATGCATGATGTTCCATTTCCAGTGTATCCAGGGCTGCATGTGCAGTTATAAGACCCCTGAGTGTTATTGCAGAAAGCATTGGCATCACAGTTATGGAGGTTAGTGGTACACTCGTTAATATCTGAAAGGAAAGAATTATTAAGAAAGTATTAAAGATGATGCGGGCAAAACAGATCAACGAAACATAATTCCAATACTGCAGCAGAAACGATTTTTAATATACCGGTGCACGCTGTTTCATTTCCAGTATGCATTTGTTATATCTAAAAGGAAGGTATTTTCAGCAGAACGATGTCTATGAATGAAATAATAAGCCTTGGATAAGGAACGTTTCTATGTATGGGGTTCCTCTCTTTCGGACTTCTTAACATACAGTCAAGCTTCTCGTATTCTAAGCGACCAAACAAGATGCAAGTGTAAGTGGTCTCATACGGGAGGTGGCCGCTTATAAGATTCAAACAACAGGGTGCCTTTTCCAAGAAATAGCTTGTACTTTATCAGATGGGCTTCCATAAGTACGCTGAGAGATATGTTTGGAGAATTACTTAATGCATTTATGGGGTACTGCTTGTTTCTTGGACCTCGCTAAAATAATTTTACATGCATTAGGTACGATGATTTACCGATGCATGATGTTGCATTTCCAGTATATCCAGGGCTACATGTGCAGTTGTAAGACCCCTGAGTGTTATTGCAGAAAGCATTGGCATCACAGTTATGGACTTTGGCTGTACACTCGTTAATATCTGAAAAGAGAGAATTAAAGTTGCCTGAACACAGTTTGAGAAAGATAGGTTTGGAGAATTACTTAATGCATTTATGGGGTACTGCTTCTTTCTTGCACCTCGCTAAAATAATTTTACATGCATTAGGCAGGATGATTTACCGATGCATGATGTTCCATTTCCAGTGTACCCAGGGCTGCATGTGCAGTTATAAGACTCCTGAGTGTTATTGCAGAAAGCATTGGCATCACAGTTATGGACGTTAGTGGTACACTCGTTAATATCTGAAAGGAAAGAATTATTAAGAAAGTATTAAAGATGATGCGGGCAAAACAGATCAACGAAACCAAGAGCCATAATGGCTCTTGACGAAACATAATTCAAATACTGCAGCTCAAACGATTTTAAGCTCCCCACCCCCAAAAAAAAAAAAAAAAAAAAAAACAAAAGCAAACCATAAAAAGAAAAACGAAACTTGAAATGAAATGAAATAAAAGAAATCAAAGAGTTAAAATACATACATTGCTTTTTTTTTTAAAAAATGTATTGGTCATGATAATTTACCGGTGCAAGATATTCCATTTCCATCGTACCCAGGGCTACACGTGCATTTATAAGATTCCTCAGTGTTATTACAGAAAGCATTGGCATCACAGTTATGGACGTTGGCTGTGCACTCGTTAATATCTGAAAGGAGAGAATTAAGGTGCCTGAACACAGTTTAAGAAAGATATGTTTGGAGAATTACTTAATTAATTTATAGGGTACTGCTTCTTTCTTGGACCTAACTAAAATAATTTTACATACATTAGGCAGGATGATTTACCGATGCATGATGTTCCATTTCCAGTGTATCCAGGGCTACATGTGCAGTTATAAGACCCCTGAGTGTTATTGCAGAAAGCATTGGCATCACAGTTATGGACGTTAGTGGTACACTCGTTAATATCTGAAAAGGAAAGAAGTATTAAGAAAGTATTTAAGATGATGCGGGCAAACCGGATCAACGAAACATAATTCCAATACTGCAGCAGAAACGATTTTTGATATACCGGTGCACACTGTTTCATTTCCAGTATGCACTTGTTATATCTAAAAGAAAGGTCTTTTCAGCAGAACGATGTCTATGAATGAAATAATAAGCCTTGGATAAGGAACGTTTCTATGTATGGGGTTCCTCTCTTTCGGACTTCTTAACATACAGTCAAGCTTCTCCCTAAGCGACCAAACAAGATGCAAGTGTAAGTGGTCTCATACGGTAGGTGGCCGCTTATAAGATTCAAACAACAGGGTGCCTTTTCCAAGAAATAGCTTGTACTTTATCAGATGGGCTTCCATAAGTACGCTGAGAGATATGTTTGGAGAATTACTTAATGCATTTATGGGGTACTGCTTGTTTCTTGCACCTCGCTAAAATAATTTTACATGCATTAGGCAGGATGATTTACCGATGCATGATGTTCCATTTCCAGTGTATCCAGGGCTGCATGTGCAGTTATAAGACCCCTGAGTGTTATTGCAGAAAGCATTGGCATCACAGTTATGGACTTTGGCTGTACACTCGTTAATATCTGAAAGGAGAGAATTAAGGTGCCTGAACACAGTTTGATAGGTTGTGGATCATAACCAATTATTGGGGTTTTATTTAACACTCATTGCGGGTATAACGCTAAAATTTTGATTCATCACATCAGACAATCGATATTTATCAGACATGACATTTATTAAGTTAAAAGTGAGACTTGGATTGTTGCCATGGCAACATGGAAGTTTGACAACAAGCCAAAAAATTTCAATTTATTAGGTTTAAGCAAAATTCAGTCATTGGATTTTCTTAGAAAATTGAACACAGCTTTCGATTAGTAACCCTCATCTTTTAGAAACCACTTGACCAAAATTGTAACGAACAGTTTTTTAAAATCTTCAAGAAAATAGCCTTTATGGAAATCTTGATTTTGTCACAAAACTCCTTTGTTGAAAAGATATTTTGACGCTTTTATTGGCTTGAGCGTGACATGAACAGGATTTCTGCCAAATTTCGTCACATTTTAATGAGTAGATTTAAAGATATTGTAGTTTATTTACGTTGCTTATGAAAGTACGCATGTTCAGCTCTAGTTCAACAGGCCCGCGCTGAGGTCACGTGATATGTCAAAGGCGACAAAAACATTATTTTCTGTTAAACTTTTAATCAGCCTTTCCTCCCTCTTTTTCTTTATGTAATGATAAAGTTTTTAAAATACACAGTAAAGGGATAAATCAGATTTAGAGAAATTGTGTTCAGCAACCTTAGATGTTATGACAAATCAAAACAAACCCAAACAAATATTGCTTATAACGGAGCAGAGACGTAATTTACACCGCCCCCCCCGCCCTGTCCTACCCCGCTCCCCCAGTTTTAATAGCAATAATATATGGTCGCTTAAAAATGCAAATGCGTTGATAATTTACCGGCGCAGGATGTTCCATTTCCAGTATATCCAGGGCTGCATGCGCAGGTGTAAGATCCATCAGTGTTATCACAGAAAGCATTTGCATCACAATTATGGACATTAGTGGTACACTCGTTAATATCTGAAGGGAGAGAATGTATGAAGATAAAAAGAAAAAAAAAACAAATCCAAACAAATATTACATTTTGCCTACACTACCCAGAAAGACACCCACCCAAGAATAAATGCGGGGGCCTCTGGGTCAGCAAGGACCTCAAAACCAGTTCATTGCAAAATTACCGTAAGTTTACAAGACCGCTCCTAATTACAAAACGCCCTATGGTGAAACACAAACCTCGAAAGCAACTAAGACAACTAAGTACGACACTGTCGGATACGAAAACCCAAAACTACTTTGTGGAAAAAAGAGAACGTACATCCACTACCTGCTGAAATCAACTGCGGAGGCGACAACTCGAGATCAGAGGTACGCAAAAACATTTTAGCTACAAGCAGAGAATTAAAGGGGTTT